ATTTGGATTTGAAGAATATGGATTTGTGTTTTCAGGCAGAAGAGGTGTACATTGCTGGGTATTCAATTATAATGGAATTAGTGAAACTGTTAGAAGTAACATATTTAAGTATTTTCAAATGGTGATTGATAAAAAATTAGTTATAAAGGAATATTTAGACATAATTAAAGAATTTGATAAAGAAAATGAGGGAATTAAATTATTTTTTCCCAGACTTGATAGAGATGTTACAGTTAAGTTTAATCATTTAATTAAAATACCGTTTTCAATTCATCCTGATACTTTAAATGTGTCAGTACCATTAGATCCTAATAATATAAAAGAATTTATAGAATTACCTACACTGTCTGACTTCTTAGACGATCCTTCTAAAATCAACGAATATCTTTCAATTTTAAAACAGTGGAGGAAATAAAATTTTGTAATAAATTTTTTTATAAAAATTTTTTAATAAGAAATGAACAAACTAATAGTCAAACAAGAATCAATTATTTCATCAATACCACCACAAACATTTACAATTATAAATAACTTATTAATTTATTATACAGATAAGTATGTTCATGTATATGATATGATATTAAATAAGATTGTTAACAAACATTACTATGAAAACATTCAAATTATCAAATCTTATAATAATTTGATTTATTTGTGTAGTAATGATATTTATATAGTTGATAGTAACTTTAAAATTAAAGAGATAGTTAAGATTAGTAAAGTTAACATTACAAACATTCATTTTTATAATAATTATATGATGATATCAAAATTGGATAATTTATATTTTTATAGATTAAATGATTTGAAGTTAATTTCCAAATTTGAATTTAATTTACCTGAAAGATTGTTTATTGCTAATGTAAATTCAAATAAATCAGATGTTGGTATTATGTTTGGTTGTTATAATAATACTAATCTAATTTTATTTAAAGATAATAAGTGTGTTTATAATAGTGATATAGATGATATTTTATTTTTATTTAATCAATCTGAAAGTTTATTTTTACTTTCTAAAGAAGGTAAGTTATTAAAAGATTTTAAAGAATATAAAAATTTTGATAAAAATTTAATTCAAGCTAAACTAATTGATAATCAACTAGTGATGTATGATGAACAGAATAATTTTATAGTTACAGATAATGATTTTAACATAACAAATACAATTAATTTACAATCTGTTTTAAACAATGATAGAAGTAATAAAAAAATTAAATTAAATCAAGACATCTCAACTTTATTGAAAATAGTTGATTTCAATGAAAGTTATTTATTAACATCAGATCATGACATCATATTACATGAGTCGTTTTTAAGTACCAGAATATTTATGTTTAATAATTCAGTAACTAATTTTATTAGTTATAAGGAGTATTTCATAATAAGTACAAATTCAGGTTGTATTAAATTTACAAACAATATGAATAGTGATATTTTTGAAGGTGATATTATACTTGTTGATGATAAGGTTTTAACATCAATGAAATCATATCAATTAGAAGATAGTTTAATAATTTACATTGGATCTAAATCAGGTAAGGTATTTAAATACCAAATCAATGACAGGGGTATTAAACAAATTGGATTGATAGAATTTAATAGTTCAATAAGTTCACTTAACTGTAATAAGGAATTACTTTGTGTATCAACTTTTAATAATGATTTAATTGTGATAAAAAATAATGAACAAATTTTTAATGAAATCATTCATAATAAAGAAATAACTGATATCTGTTTGAGTGATGATTATATAATTACATCTTCAAATGATAAAACAAGTAAGATTTTTGATAAAAATAATATGAAATATGTAACTGTAAATAGTAATGATAAAATTTTATTTAGTATCACTAATCAAATTTATATTGCCATATTTAGCTATAAATATTTAAGAATATTTGATTATAGGAATTTAACTTTAATCAAAACAATCTTTATTAAAAGACCAATACTATCAGCTGTATTTTATGATGGATACATCTTAGGTGTATCTGATATTCTTAAGATATTTAATAATAGTAGAATGGTGGATATTGTTAATGTTAACATTAGTAATGGTTGGTCATTTGATTATCCTTTTATTTGTGGTGATAACAAAATAGTTAAATTGAGTTGTGAATATGAAAATAGTAATGATCTTAAAGAAAAGGAGACTTATCTTTTGAGAAATGATTTTAAGTCACTAATGAAAATAGAAGAAGATTGTAAAGCTCAATTTGGAATTATTAAAAATTTTATTAAATTGAAAGAAAAGTCCAAATTAGGAAATGATATACTTCTAGAAGAGTTAGTTAAAGAATGTAAAAATATTGGTAAAATGTTGGTTTTAAATGGTCAGTTAAAAGATTTAGAACTTTTTAACAAACTATTAGAAGATAATTTTGATGGAATTGATTTAAAGTATAAAAAAGAATTAGAATCAATTCTTTACAAACATTTGAATGTTGTAGATGATCTTTATTTTAAATTAAATTTAAATTAATTTTATTCTTTTCTCTGACCACAGTTAGGGCAGTGTCTTGACTTGTAGGTTGTTATTACGTCACATGAATGACATCTGTGTTGCTGTAATCCTCCTAAATTTTGTCCACAATTGTAACAAGCAATATAGGGTGGTGATGATCCACATGGAAGACAACAAATAAAACAAATGTCACACCTATAAACTTCTTTTCTATATCTACTTTCACCTATTTTGTGACATCTTGGACACATAATGTTTTTAGGTGCTTCACTAAATCCTATTGGATCTTCTATTGGCTGACTAAAAGTTCTTTCACTACAAATACATGGAATTATCATATAAGGGGTTTTTAAAATCAACAAATAAAATTTTAAAGTTAAGGGGTGTATTGATCTACTTGAAAATATTTTATAAAAATAATTTAATAAACTAATATAGATAAATTTAGTATTATTTCTATAAAAAGAATTTTTTATCAAAAAATTAAATAAATTAAAATGATTAGTTTGTTTCATTTAAAAATTTATTAAATTCCTTGTGGTGTTTTAAATTGTTTTTCTGTTGACTTATTCACTTCTTGTTTGTTATGATCTTTATTAAAATTAGAAGTTTGAGTAGTTATTGGACGTTTTTCAATAATTCTTGATCCACATTCATTACAAAATTTAGAATTTTTAATTATTAAACAACTACAAATAGAACATTTAATAAACTTATTAATATCAATTTCAAATTGGCAATTTTCACATCCCATATAATATGAAGGTATTCCACATGTGTAACATAACGGAATAAAACAGCACTCAAATAAGGGGTATTTGGCAAAATAAACAGCTTTTGTGATTTTTAAACAGTTTGGACATGAAAATTTCTCCTGTTCAGGGGGTTTATCATGTGGTTTTTCTATTCTTCCGATTTTATGATTGCATCCAAATAAAATAAAATTACAACAACATAAAAAATCACTCATATTAATATTTATAGGGGTAGTAAATCATTTAAATTTTTATAAAAAGTTTCTAATCAAATTTAATTTCTATTTGAGTTTACATTAGAAAGTTTTCTACCGCACTGTAAACAACATGAATTTACACTAGGGTTTAATATGGAACATCTATCACATTTTTTGTATTTAAGTAAATCAATTTCAAATCCACAATTAGAACATGAAAGATATGTTCTTTTCTGTCCACAAAAACAACAACAAGGAATAAAACAAAATTCAAAAAGACTAAACGACTTTCTATAAACGGCATTTTTAACGCACATACAATTCGGACAATGAAAATTCTCAACGTCTTCAGCTCCTTGGGGTTTTTGTACTATAATGTTATGTCTTCTACAACCAAATATCCACGGATAAAGACAACATAAGAAATCAGGCATGTTTGAAACAGAAAACCTGGTTTTATTTTATTTTTGAAACAATCAAAATGAAATAGAATTAATTAAAATGTTTATAAATGAAAATGATTCATTTAGAATTTATTAAAAGTTACAAATTTAGAAATTAAAATAATAAAATTATCAGTTTGTTGTTATTAATTTTTTAATAATTAATTAGTTTACATACATTCTTTATTAAATTTAATTTTTTATTAAAATGATGTTAAAATTAAAAAAAATAAACTTATTTACATCAATAAAGTATTAAAAAGTAAAAATTATTTATAAAAACATAAAAATCTTGTTTTTATAAAATTAAAAAACATTTTAAGTTTTAAATTGTTTATAATTTAATGAAAATATTAAATTATATATCTTTCCAATAAAATTTATGAAAGAAATTATACAATTTAAAAGAATCTCGTAATTTTTTATCAAAAACATACTTTTTACCATTTAAATATAATTTTTTTTAATTTTATAAAAATCAATTATTGTATGATTAAATTAATATTAATTAGTCTTTATAGAATGTTGTTGTTTAAAAAATATTTTACTTTTATAGATTTTTTAATAAAACCAAACTATAACAATAAAAACTGACATAATATTTTCAATAAATTATTTAAACAATATTTATTAACATTCATGTTTATTTTATATATCAAAATGACATACTTTTATTAAAATGCCTATTAAAAATATTTTAGTAAAAACATTCTAAATGTTAGTTTAAATTTATTTTATCGGTTTAAAAACAGTTTCATATTCAGAACTCAATTTTAATAATTTTTAATAATAAAATATCTTTTATTGTGTGAATTTTATTTATTTTGTCAAATTTATATAATTTTTATAAAATGTAAATAATAAATTTTCAAATGGTTTAAATAATTTTAAATCAATAAAGTTATAACGATAATTTTAAATAAATAATGATTTAAAATCAAAAGAGTTCGATTCCCATTAAAGATTTAAAATAAAATAATTTTATAAAATATTCAATACAACACTTTCAATAAATTTAAAGAAAAATAAATATAAAGAATTTAATTAAAATTCTTTGAAATTCTATTAACAAACTTAATACTTCCCTTCTTAACACTCGAAGCTAACTTACTACAAGATTTAGCAGCTGCATTTTTAAATGTAGAGAATTTCTTAGAAATCAAAATCTTCTTATCTTTAAATGAGCTTGTTGATTTAACTGGTCTGTAAAGTTTAATATTATAGTATTTGTTACACTCTCTACACTTAAAGAGATTGTTATTATTCTTTTGCTTGTTTTTAGTTAGTTTATTACAGATTAACATAAACTTCCCAACTTTCTTAGATCTAGTTGTCTTTTTACAGTTCTGACAATACAAAAAATTTGGTGAAACTGCTTTATTAACAAAGTTAATAGTGGTATTTTGATATAACTCTTGAAATTTAATTGGATCAAAATCATTTAGAAACTCATCTTCTATCATTTAAAAATTAAGGGGAAAATAAACAAATAAATTATAAGAAAATTTCATTTTAAAAAAACACTCAAAATTACTTAAAACTTGTAAAGTTAGTTATTTTTATTTCAATTTGTTTCTTTTAACAAACAAAATAAGAATTTTAGTGATTAAAGAAAATTTATCAAAAAAGAGAAAGATTTTTATAAAAAATTTTATAAAAAACAATAAATTTAATTTTAAATAACCAGTTTTAGTAAATTAAAAATCAGAAAGAATCAAATTCAATTATTAGCAGGTTCATCAACTTTAATGCTATCCATAGCTTCTTCAGAAGTTGAATTAGATGAATAAACATTTTTAGAATCAGATTTAGTTTTCAATTCTTCTTTCTTATTTTTGCTATCTGGTTGTTTAGATTTAGTCTGTTGTCTATTAACATTTGTAACAAAACGCATCTCCTTAGTAATTATCTTAGCCTTATAATCGGGTGATACAGGATCAAATTTCTTCAAGATATCCTTGTTGGAATCTTTAGATCCGTTTTTGTTTTGATTTCCATTTTGACGATGTTTCTTGCCACTATCATCATCCAAATCACAGTAGAACTGATTCATAGCTTCTCTTATTTTCCAATTCTTTATCTCTATATTACTATACTGTTCCTGCTCTAGAATAGAACTGTTAATATATAGCTCATCATCATTCTGTAACACTGACGTGTAAAAACAGTCAAGTACATACATATCATTAGACAGCTTAATATCCATCTTCTGTAACTCAATTTCATAGTTAGCCTTTAATATATTTCTGATTATTGACTTAAAAACTGTTACAGGAATGTCTCCTTGGAGCTCAAAGAGGAAGTTTACACTATCTTGGTAGATTATCTTTACTCTTTTCATATTTTCGGGTTAAAAAATTTTTTATTTTAAATTTAATTTAATAACAGTAACTCTAACAAAATTGATCTTAATCATTTATCAATTCTTTAAACTTAACTTTTTTTTATTTATGTCTAAATAACTAACATTAATTATTTAATTAACCCTTCTAAATAATTAATTAACATTCTTTATTAAATTGCTTTTTTGATAATTTTGACACTTTTTAAATTTTAGAATTTCTGTGTCTTATTTTGTTTCTTATTTTTTAATTAAGAAATGGAAGTAGATTCTAAAAAAGATAAAGAAATTTTGATTAACGGTTTAATCGGTCATTGTTTGATTTCTATTCTTAGAATTATAACTATGGTTGTTGAGTATAACATCAATGAACAATACCAATCAAGCCTTAGGATAAAAGGTATTTTCTTTGATAATATTTTTATTTCTGCTATTCTAGCTGAGTTTTTTCTTATCACAATTTCAACTATAAGATACCCGTTTTACAAAAATATAAAATTGTGGTTTGTTTTATACGGTATTATTATGTATGATTTTATTCTTTCATTTAAAACACTTTTTATCAATTCATTCACTAACTATGTCGTTTTAATGGTATTTGCTTTCAGTTTTATTGCTGAGTATTTTGTGTACAAGTTGTGTAAATTTACTGTTAAAAAGTCATTTTTTATAAAATCTTTTAGGTTGAATGTTGATATTAAAGTTTATAATGCTTACATGAATAGGGAAAACATTTTCTTAATTGGTATTCTTTTATTATACAAAACAATTATATTCATTAGTAGGAATATTTTACTGATCATTAGTTTAGATATTGAAAATGATGTTATTGATGAATATAATTTTTACAGTAAATCCATGGTCGTTTATAGTTTTATTACCGTTAGTGTCAATTGTTTTACTACAGTTATCATTCAATACAAATTAAAAGATGAGATTTTCTATATTAGGATAATTCTAATTCTTTTAGCATTGGTTAATATTTTTAGTCTTCCTGTGTTATTTTTTTTGTTATATATAAAAGATGCTATCGTAGATATTAATAACTTCTTAAGAATTTCAAGTGGTATATTATTCTCTTTTATTTACTTAGATATTTTTCTTGTATATTACACATATAAAGACATTCAAAATTTAGATATCGGTGTTACTGATGTTCAAGTAACAAAAAATTATGAAAATTATAGAACGAATTAATAAAAAGATTATGGAATGTTGTTTATTTAAGTTCTTAAATTAGCATGGACATTATTTGTACCACAATTTTGACAATACTTCTGATCTTTGAAAACAGATGTTCCACATCGACACTCGTTATATTCGTTTGTACCGAGTTTAAATGAACATCTTGAACATACCAAAAATGGTTCTGATTTTCCTATCAAACAACATGGAATAAAACAAAATGAAAAATAATTATCATCTGTTTTATAGACTGCTGGTCCTTCATTTGAACAATAGGGGCATATTATTTTATTTGGTGGTTCGGGATAGCCTTCTATATTTATGGGTCTACCTTGGAATTCTCTTGTACCACAAATTAATATACAGGGTTGACAAAAACACATATTAGGGGTAAATTAGTTTTTTATTTGTTTCCTTAAAAGGAGGTCGACCATCAATTTTTAATTTTAAAAATTAAGTTAAGTGATTTTATTTTTTAATTATTTCTTTAATTCCTTCATCACTTTCAACTATCTTGATTTCCTTTTCTTTATTTTCTACTTGTTGTTTCTTGAATTCACCAGATTCACCTTTAATTGTTTCAAGTTTAAATTGTTCTTTTCCTCGTCCACAATTACCGCAAAAATTACTTGAAATACTCGATGTTATTCCACATCTACATGTATTGTAATCTGCTGACCCTAGTTTAAACTTGCATGATTTACAGGCTAAGTATGCGATCGATCTTCTCGTAGTACATAATGGTAGATAACATAAATTAAAAACTGTTAATTTTTCCCTGTAAGTTGCATTTCTATATGTAGAACATTTAGGACACATTATCTTAGTTGGTTCATCTGGATATGATTCTGGTTTATCTATATCTTCGTTAAACTCAATAGTACCACACAATAATGATTGTAATCCACAAAGAAAACACATTTAATTATAAGGAGAAGAATAACATAATTATTAAATTTCCTTTTTAAAAAAATTAAAATTCGAATTTATTGATTTTGTTCTATTGACGAATTTTCATCATTCGAATTATCATCATCTATTGTTGAAGACTCAAAATGTATAATCTTATCATTTGATCGTTTTTTGTAACCACAATTAACACAGTAATTACTATGATAAAGCATTACTACTCCGCATCTTTTACAGTCATCATGTCTCATTCCACTAAAGTTTGAGAAACACCAACCACAAAACATTCTTGGTTCATCAATTTTATATCTTTTACAGGGAATAGCAAAAAATGATATACCCCTGTACTTTTGTTGCATAACGCCTTTAGTCATACCACCACAAGCTGGGCATTGGTATTTAGCTGTATCTGCGCCAAAAGCATCAATTGGTTCATAAAATTCATCATAACCACCACTTGTTATAACTCCTGTTACTCCTGCCATTTTAATTATTTATAAGGGGAAATTAGATAATTATTTAATTTAATAAAAAATTTATTAATGATAAAATCAATTTATAATGATTTAATTTAATTTAATTTAATAATTTATAAACGTTTTAATGATTATTTAAAACCTTTTCTATTAAAAACTTGAATTGAAGTTTTTAATAAAAATTCTATTTTTTATTACTAAGAAAATTTAAGTGCAATGGAAAGGAGGAGAACAAATTTATGTTTTAGAAATAGTAGTAGACGTACAATAAAAACATTAAAGTTAGTAAGAAGAAAGAAAGTTACTTGGTCATCTAGTACAGTAGATAATTCTAAATTAAATAAGAAGTCTTCTAAATGTTGTTGCATTGTTCACAATGATGGAATTGATGTGCCATCAGAAAAAAATAAATACGAAAGAACTTAAAATTTTCTATTTTTATTAAAAATCTATTCAAATAAGAGTTTTCTATTAAGTTTTAAGTTTCAAATTTGATATGCTTAATTAAAAAAATTAATTTGTGGTTGCTATACTTTGATGACAAACATTGATTTCTAAATGATATAGAAAAAAAATCTAATAATATAGTGTATTCTTTTATATAAACATTAATTTATTAGTAAGATCATTATTAAACGTTTTTAATAATATTTTGGTTTAATTAATATTTAAGTGTATTTAGATTTTTTATAATATAAAAATTAAATCATTTTTATTTAAAATATGATTTAATTTATTGATAGTAAGAGTGGAGGATATTGTTTAACATATCTATAATAAAATATTAAATAATAACATTATTAATTTATTTATAACCTGTTAAGTTATTATTGTTGTCATAAATAGGTTTGTTACTTAAAAGAATACAAAGGTTTAAAGTATTGTTACAATCTGAAACAAATGATATCATTTTTTTTAGAAAATACTATAAAAGGAAATTGAAGTAAAAAAATAACTTTTTATGAAAGATTTTAATTATAAAAACAATAAAGGTTATAAGAGAGATAGGAATAGCACAAAGAATTCCCTAATAAGTTTTATTTAGTACAACAATATTTAATTTTAAATTTTATTATAATTATAAAAACTAATTAAAATAGTTTAAATTATATATTAATGAATTTTAAAGTTATAAATATAAAATTAATCATCTATCTGCAATCAATAAATAAAAAACACAATAATTTATATTTATAAACTATACGTTCGTGTCAAACCATATTTTTTTATACTTATTTAACATAATCTATGATAGTAGAAGTAGAAAATTAAAGTAATATAAAACCTTTTTTTATGTAAAAATTAATAAAATTTTTATAAACTTAGTGATATACTTTTTTAGTTTTATTAAAATAAATTATTTGAAATATATTTTAAGAATAAAATTTTAATTTGAAAAAAGGGGGTAGTTTTATGAAAAAATTTAGATTTATAAACTTTACTTTTATAAACTAGAAGATTTACTTACAAAAGAATATTAAATTAAAACAAAAATGATAAAAATATTTAATTTATGAAAATTAATAGTTAAGAGAGAAGATGATATATTGATGAGTAATAATTTTAATCACTAGTGATAGGGATCAACGTAGAGTAGTGGTGAGAGATTAAATAATTTCGTTTGCATATCCTATACCGATTTTATTATTCACAATTAAAAAAGAATTTAAAATTTTATATTAATTTTCACTGATGTATCTTTTATAGATGATAGAAATTTAAACTTATTTTATTCTAAAACAATAAATTTTAATAAAATTTTTATTTATCAAATGATAATAAATAAATTAGTAAGAAAACAACATATATTAAATATTAACATAAATTAGGGTTTTATAGGCGTTATATTTAATAATCTGTATTTTATTAATCTCAAAAATCTCTCTACTCATAATTTTGATAGGTAAAATTTATTAAACATAATTTATATTTATAAATTTTTCTCAGAAATAAATTTTCTGATAATTATAACGAAATATTTATAACATAGAGAATAAAATATCTGGATTATTGCTTTTCGAAGAGAATTGTAATAATGTATATTATAAATCATTGATTAGTACAGTATTAATAAATTACATATTTAAATTTCATGGCTAAAATAATTAAATTCTAAATTCTAAGCTTAAAAAATATATTTATAAAGATTTGATTTTTTTCAAAAATTTTTACCCCTAAAATGTTTAAAAGTATATTTAATAAAAAGAATGAAAGACTATTGATTTGGTCAATATTTATGTTAGTAATTTTAATTATATCTTGTTTTGTATTTTTATTTTTTAATAACAAAATAAATGAGGATCTTTTAGATGGTTCTGAAAATTTTGAAATTTCTCCTACAAGTATATGTGGAGAATGGGAATTAGAAGAAGTTTTAAAAGATTATAATTTATATGAAAGTAAAGATGAAGAAAATTTAGAAGAATCACCATTTAGTGGAGTTATATTATCAGAAAGTGATGATGAAGAAAACTTAAAAAATTATTTGAATAAAACTACACCTATAAAAATTTTTTTTGGAAGTGATGATAAAGAAATTAACGATTCTAAATCTTCAGAAACTCCTTCTAATAATGATGGTGAAAAAAGTACAGAAGAATTTAGAGATGTTATATATCCAGAAATTCTTTCTAATAATGATGGTGAAAAAAGTACAGAAGAATTTAGAAATGTTATATCTCAAGAAAATTTTTCTGAAAATGTTGGTGAAAAAAGTACAGAAGAACATAAAGATGTTACATCTCTGGAAAATCCTTTTAAAAACGACGGTAATGAAAATTCAAAAGAATCCAATGTTGTTATACCTCCAGAAAATACTTTTAAAAACGAATATAAAGAAGAATCTAAAAATAATCTACCTTTAGAAATTCCTTCTATTAATAAAGATAAAGAAAATAAGGAAGAAATTTCTAAAGAATTAAGTGAAAAGAGCAACAATAATAAATAAAATCTTTAAAATTATCTTATAAAAATGATGTAGTTGAAAACAATACAAATAATTCATTTAATTAGTTAATTGATAAAAATCTTAATTCAATAACATTTTTTGTCAAAATAGTTTCAAAACATAATTTTATACAATATTTAATGAAACTAACAATAAAGATGAAGTAATTAATGAAAAAATTTTCTTATTTAAAAGAAAAATTTTATTTTTAAAAATACTGTATTTGATATTAAAACATTTACTTTTATTGTATTAACTAAAGGTTTGAATAATTCGTTAACGGAAATTAATATTGATAGTTAAAAATTTTTTTTAATTAATAATGTTAATTATAAAAAGTCGTTTTGATTATATTAAATATAAATTAAAAGGGTTTAAGTATTTTATAATAAAATAAATCTTCAAAACTTCTTATTTTTGAAGATATTTACTCAAACTATCAACGTTATTTACTTAAGTACACAGAAAAATGTTTGACTTTTAATTCGATTACAATTTATCTGTGTTTATAAATCATATAAAAAATTTTTATAGAAGAAACTTTAAATTTGATCAAGTTATTTAAAATTTTAAGAGTATAAAATAACTTTCTCAAAACTAAAACTAAGTATTTTAAGGAAACCCCGTGATAAATTTTTAATTTGAGTAGAAGATGTTATTTTTAAGTGTTTTAAAAACGATATTGACTTATTAACTGATTATAACAATATAATTGATAAAGATGAAATGATTTATATGTTAAGATTAATGAAAATTGATGAGTTTTTTATTTAAACAATAATTTAAAAATAATGGAAGGTATTGCAGGATGCTAATAAAATAAAAACCCGTTAATTAATAACATTTTTAATAGAAAAAACATAGCTTTTTAATCTGCATAGGTGTTATTATGGTTGTCAGTATAAAAACTTTATTTATTATATTTTTTACATTTCTTCTTATTTTTTTAATAGTTAAAACTGATTGTCATTTATCAAATTAACTAATTTAAATATGTCATATTATCAATTAATTCTGTTATAGTAAGTTGAATTTAATAATTTTTATTGAATATTTAATTTTTTTAATAAAGTCTTTATTTTAGTTTAAAAAAGATTATTTAATGAGTTTTAAATCAATTTTATCAAATAATTTCACTGAAAATTTAATTAATAAACACTTAATATTATTAATAATTTCAATTAATATAAAAAGTGATTTATTAAAAAATTTTAAATAATAAAAATTGTATTTTAAAGTGTTTTGTTAATTAAATTGTTTTTAATATTTTAATTATGTTTTACTATTTAATAAAAAAGAATTTAATTGAGAAATATTTTGTTTAATAACAAAAAGATCTAATTTAAATTTACTTTGATAGTTAAAAATATTCATCAATTAAAGAAATTATTTTAGTGTGTTTTAAGTAAAAAATTATTTATTAAAAGAGTGGTATTTAAAAATAATTTAATTGGTGAAAATTCTTATTAAAAAAAGTATAATGTTAAATATAATTAATTTATATTTATTTACATTAAAATATGAAATCTTTATTAAAAAAATGGTAAAAGAATATTTAATTAAATTTGTTTTCAATCTATCTATTTAATAAATCTATAGATAGTTTTAAGATTATAAACTTTATAAAACTTCTTTGTTTTATCAATTCTTTTTAAAAGATTTGTTTGTTAAAAATTTTTTATAAAAAAGTTTTTAATGATTTTTGAAGTTCAAGTGGGTTTTGCAGATGAAATTCACAAATTTAAACTTTATAAAGAATATTTTAGTATTTCAAATATAAAGTTGGTGTATTTTAAAGAAATATCATCATTACATACAAAAGACAATAATCTCTTAAGAATTAAGCTAGTTAACAATGAAAACATTATAATTAATTTTCCCAAGGTAAATTTAAGAGATGCAGTTAAGACTATCTTGTTAGTTTTGGGCAAAGAATCAGCCTCAGCTAAAAAAAGAATGACTGAGTTATATAAAACTGATTTTATAAAAACAACAAACATTAAAAGAAATGATAATATATCAATGGATAACTTTATACCAGGTAATTATACGTTTGATAATGATGATACTATTACATCGTTTTATTCGTTTGTTTTAATGATGATTAATAGCTCAACCTTATGTAAAATATTTTTAGATATGGAATGTTCTATTAATCATTTTTATAAACTATATGTTGAATCTTATTATTTTGATATCAATAACAAACAAAACATACTTGATACCAAAATAAATGATAATTATGAACAAAAGTTAAACTTTGCCAATAGAATTAATCTTTATTCCAATTTAAATGTTAACGAGTCAATTGAAGACATCAAAGTTAATGAAGAAAGTTTAAAGGAAATTGATTTTACAATTGTAAATGACATGCATTTAGGAAAGATAACTACTAAAAATGTTGTATTAGAAGACTTTGATGTAAAAGGGTATTTAAATAGTTTTAAATTACATAAAACTGATTTAAATAGACTTAAACTTGATAATAATATAATTGAAAATGTAAAAGAAATCAAAGTAGATCAAGAAGATTTTGAAACAGCGAGAGAATTTTGTAAATTAGTTTATATAAATCCTGAAAATAAAGAATTAATACAGGAAGCAAAGGAATTTAGTGAAAATTTTAGAAAAGTTATGTGTGAAAAATACGGAAATGATATTTTAAAAGTAATAGAAAGAAATATACCTGATTTTTATATAAAAGAGTAATTTTATTTATTATACTTTTTTAATAGTTTAAAAATGATTATTAATATTAAAAACAAACAAAGATTGATATTTTTTTTTGTTTTTAACATTTAAATTAATTAAACATAAATTAACCCCAAAATGATAATAATTAAATATATAAATAATATCTTGTGTATAGATAAAGAAGACATATTAAATTTGTTTGATATAACAGATAAGACTTATACCATTGATTTAAGATTAGTAGATAATTTTAAAAGTTATCCTAAATATAAAGTTAATATTCCATATGACGTTGAATATGAAACTGAGTATGATTTTAAAATTAAGTTTAAATATAAAGACAGTTTAAGTTCTAATAATATTAAATTGAACAATCTTTCATTCATGGATATTGAATTTGGATACGTGTATCTTTATGTTTTTAGAGAAAAAATCAAAGGAAGTGAGTTAATTTTTAAAGGTGTAATTCATTTAAAAGAGTTAATTGAAAGAAATGGTATTAAAGAAGTAAGTTTATTTGATGAAAAAGTTAAAAATATAGAAGCTATTCCATTTAAGGTAAATATGTTTAATAGTCTTAAAATTAAATATGATAAGTACGAGAGTGGAAGTTATACTGATGATGGTAAACTAAAGAGTATTTCAGATATGTTAGATGATGTTGGTGGTTCTATTAAAGAAGTAATCAAAAAGTTTAAAAATGAAAATATCAGTGAAAAATTATCTCTTTTAAAAAAATTTTACAAAATTAAGAAAGAAATTGGAATATTTAAAATTGTAAAAAGTATTAAGAAAATAGTAAAAGAATTAAATTTAAATGAAAATGATTTTAAAAATGATTTAAACGAATATTATGAAATTAGAGATGATAAAAAGAATGATTATTACTATGCTTGTTTATCTAATCTGGTATATGGAACTGAATTTAGAGAATTTTATTCTCATCATGATTTAACTAAAGCAGATAATGATGGTTATTTAGATGCTATTAAAAGGAAGTCATTAATACTTTTAGGTAAAGAAATAAACATACTAAACTTTTATACAAACTATGACTATTTTCCTTGTTTTATGACAGTTGAAAAGGATAGTAATACAGTTGTAATTGTGTTTAAAGGAACTAAAACAATAAAAGAGTGGGTTGTTAGTTTATTAATGGATTATGTCAACATTGAAGATGGTTTGATACATAAAGGTCATAGAATATATATTAGTAATCTAATTAAAAGTGACTGGGCTGTTTTAAATAGTGTTATAAATAAATATGATAACATTCATGTTACGGGTCATTCATTAGGAGGTTCAATGGCAACCTTATTTCATTATATTCTTAAAAAGAAATTTAGTCACAAAAATATTAGAACTATCACTTTTGCCGCTTTTCCAAATATCAATTTAAAAAATCACAAGTTATTTTATGCTAGCGATATAACAAATTATATAGTAAGTGATGATATTATTCCACTTGCTTCATTTGGAAATATTATTAATTTTAAAATGTCTTTAATCTTTTTTTTGAGATATAAAAGTAGTTGGGTTGATTTTATTCCAAATAATAATGATTTTTCCAATGAAGAAATATTAAATGGATTGAGGAAAGTATCTAAAAGTTATTTTAAATATAAAAGGTTATATGGAATAGGACCAACCATAAAATTAAAGTATAATTCACGTGAAGATAAAAAATATTGTTGGAGAAATCTTAATGAAATAGAAAAGGATTTTATATTACCAACTAGAGATAGTATATATGATCATGGTATTAAAAGATATATTGAAGGTTTGAATTGATGTAAATAAAATTAAAAATTATACTTTTTTTTATTAAAACTTCATATTAAAAACCTTTTTTTATAATATTAAAATATTAAAGTAAATTTCTTTATATTTTACATACAATATAACTTGTGAAAGTATGTTTTAAATAAAAAATGATAAATAGTTTAGTTAGTAATATAAAAGTTTTACAACTATTTAACCTTTATTATAAAAAATTTTGTTTGATTCTTTTAAAAAAATACTTTTTATCTATCAAAAAAGTTATTATTTAAAATTTATATTAATATAAATAAAAATCAACATAATTAATAAAAATAACAGCCAATACTTTAATAAATAATATTACCGTACTAGACAATGATTCGCAACATACATTATTACACTTCTCATCCCTAAAAAATAATCCGTATACTTTATTTCCTGACATACATTGATGTTATATATATACTGTTGTCTTATTAATTTATTTACTATCATTTCGATGGGTAAAATTTTATATTAAAATTTAAGTTTCTAGAACAAATTAAGTTTAAAATATTAACATTTGTTAAAGAGACATCTACGACAAACACAATCATAATAATTCTATAAAAGATAACAGTAATCATGGAAGAATAAATAGTTTAAATGATTTATTTATTTTTAACTCATCATAAACTATTTTTTAATTTAAAATCAAAATCACTTTCTATGTTTTAACATATAAATTAATTATAAAATTAAATACATAATACTTTACTTTTATTAAAATACGTTTTTTTAACATTAAATTGATAATTAAAAAAATAACAAATTGAATTATCAAATATCACCATCAAAATAACAAAAAAAATATATTAAATAACACTGAAAATATCTTTTTTATCGTATTAAAAAAGTTTTAATTATAATTAATTTAATTGTTACTTAATGAAAATTTTTTAAAAATAAATTTGATATTATTTTATAACCCCTCAAAGTTATTAAATAATGGGTCTTTATAAGGAATCAAAACGAAATTACATCACATGTGTAATTGTAATTATATTGAGTGTAATTACAGTAGTATCATTAACAATGTTTGGTTATGTCATTTTCTATAGAGTCCAATTAACAAATGAATTACATTTTTTATTAAAAGAAATAACACGTGTGATTGGAGAACAACTGTCTGGTTTTATTAATTGTGAAATTAATTTTGATTATTTTTTTAAAATAATTAAAGAAAAAGAAGAAAATAAACAAAAAGGAGAAAAGGAATTGGTTTTTAATACACTTTATTCTATGTTTATGGCATGGATTGAAGATAAAAAGGATAAAAATATGATAGAAAGTTTAGAAAAGTCATTTAATGATGTTTTTCATAAAATTGAAGATAAAATACAAATACTTTGTTTAAAAAAGGTAATGAAAGATTTTAAAAAAGAGTATATGGTATTATTTTCTATTTTTCATAATTTAGAAAATTATGATAATGAAAATATAAATGGTGCTATCAAACAACTAAAAGAAAAACATAAACAAAAATCTAATGAAACTGTAGTTGTTAACGAATATATCTCGTTGGGTCAAGAAGAGTTTTCTATTATTGAAGAACTAAATGTTAGTCTTTCTTTTACAAATTTTATTTTAAAACACTTTCTGTTTTTTTCTTTCGTTCTTGTTGTTTGTCCACATTATCAGTGGTTTTATGAAGAATTAAGAAAATTTAGTTTAAATCAATAAAATTTAATTAATAATTTCAAAACATACTTTATATTAATGTAAACTAACTAATATAATTGTGTTAAAATTTTTAATAAAATTTTTATTATGAAAATTCTTATAACTATTGTGTTAGTGTTCACCCTAATTATAGTTTATATAGTAATGATGGGTAATAAAAAAAACATTAAATTAGTAGTAGACTACACTAAAGAATATAGAATGGTTTTTATAGTAAATAGTGACCTTAAAATGGGGAAAGGGAAAGTTATTAGTCAATGTATGCATGGTTATGATGGTATTTTAGAATCCCTTAGTTTATTTAGAGAAAAAGATAACTTGCTTAGATGTTGGAGAAACAGTGGTAGTGCAAAAATTATTCTTAAAGCCACAGAAGAAGAAATGAAGTCTTTAATTGTTAATAACAACTATATTCATCATTATTGTGTTTATGATGCGGGTAGAACACAAGTTCCATCTCATTCGTTTACTGTATTAGTTTTTGGTCCTGAAATAGAAGATAAATTAATAGAATTAACGAAGGGTTTAAAACTTTATTAATAGAATATCGTTTTGTGGATTTTATAATTTTTAAATTCTATATTTAGAAACTAAAAAAAATAAACATAAGAATTCCTTTTATTTTTTAATCTTGTAAATGATCTCTAATAACTTTGAAGTATTTTCATCCAAATAAGTAACATCATCTCTATATTTATCGTCAATTTTTTTCCAATAAACAAAATGAACATCAAATCCTGCCAACATGGGATAAGTTTCGTCTTTATCTGATAAGAAAAAAATGAAAGTATCTCTTGTATTAATTTTTAACTTATTTAGTGTATTAGGTCCTATTCTACTGGGTGTGTACTTAATAAATTTTAGATTGTTAATTTTAAGATCTAACACTTTATAACTTTCATTTTCATTGTTTGTTAACATTTTATATTTTTCAGCTTTATCACTAGTAAAAACATTATCACGTGTAATGTTAATACTTAAATCTGAATGTCTTTGTCTTTTTAGAAGATTTAATATAGCCAGTTTTTTACAACTTCCTCTTTTTCCAACAAAGAAAACTTTTCGTTGTTTAAAAGAATTGTCTTCATTTTTTTTACAATAAAAGATACTCTTTATATAATGAAAGTTTCTATAAATAATCAATAAAATACATAATGCTACAACCAAAGTTTCCATTTTGTTTATACTATAAATATTTTTACTTAAATAATTCAATATCATAATAAATTAATTGACACCAAACAAATGAACTGTAAAATTATATTATCATAAGATAGATATTTTAAAGTTATTTTCTAAATATAACATTATCTAAAATTGATAGGTGTCATAAAAATCAAATTTAATAATATTTATTTAAAATTTTCTAAAATTAAAAAGTATAAAATAATTTTTTAATTAAAAACAACAATAAAAATTATAATTTTATTCTAATATAATTTCTTCAATTTGATTATTGATTGAATTAAAAATAATACCAGCACCCATTGAATCAAAATCTGGAATAGTTAAAATAACAGTTTCATTATAAAAACCAATATCAGTTTTAGAATTACCTACAATCATTAATTTACAGTTATTAATAAAAAATGGATCTTTATCGGTAAAAGGATATGTAGGAATTGTATCTGGTAAAGTGGGACCAATATTCCTTATATCTAGCAAAGTTTTACAAAGACTAATATCATCTTTCACGTCATCCTTTCTTAAATAATTGTATAAATCACTAATAAGATATCTATCTAATACAATCAGGTTATCATTATTAACAGGATTAGTTAAGAATACAAACTTATCACTTTTAGGAAATAACATCTTACTTAAAGATTGTAAAGGGTAAACAATAGTTGTCGGATCATCAACAGACGGCACAATAAAAACTTTATCAATTTTTGATAAAATTCTATTAAACCTATTAAAATCAATAACTAACTTACTATCAAAAATATTTCCTATAAAAAATAAATGACGTACCTCATAATTATTTAACACAAAATCAATGGTTGTACAAACTCTATCAAAATTCTTATTGAATTTAATATTTGATAAAATAAGTATTTGATTGTTAAATAATGAATCAATTTCTTTATTCTTTTTTTCTTCACTAACTAGCTTTTTATTAGGGTAAACTATTTTTTTACAGTCAAAAACATTATCTTTTAAACGTCCTTCAAATCCTAATACCATTCCCGTTGTTAATAACACATCAGTGTTCAATTGAATAGTAACTTTACCAGTATCATCTTCTATAAAATAATAACTATCATCTAATAAGTAAGTATCAGATTCAATTTTTTTATACAAAATTGAATCTTTGGCTTTCGAATCTAAAAATAATATTCCAATCACTACACACTCCTTATCTTCTTTAAGTTGTGATATTTTATTAATTATATTACCACATTCAGATTTTATTAATGGATACATTTGTTTAAATCTTATGTTGTAATTCTGATTGTACTGGTGCTTATAGTTTGGTATCATTTTATTAAAAAAAATTTTCATTAAAAAATTAGTTAACTAATTTAATCAAATCATAGATGAATATTTCACTAGCAAAACTAACTATTAAATTATTCTTATTAAAATTGATACTACAAACATCACTTACAGTTTCTTTTAAATAAGTTTTATAAATACAACTTAAATCCAAATTATTATAATTAAATACTTTCATACACCCTTTGATGTCTAAACTTACAACTATTAGTTTATTATTTAATTTGATTCCATTTACATCCAGTATATTGTGTTTATGAATGTAAGGAATGGTGTTAAATGATGATTTAGTATTAAATAATTTGATTGATAAATCACTACTGCATGTTATAATGATATTTTGATTTAATAAGCTTATTTTGTTAATTTTACCGTTATGACTAATTAGGAAAACTTTATCAATAGAACGAGTAAACAAATTTAATCTTAAAAGATTATTTTGAATAGTAAAGTAAACAAAGTTATCAACAATTAGTAAATTTGTTACACACTCGTTACTTACTTTTATACTGAAATATTTGTTATATTGTTTTAGTGAAATATTCCCATTAACATGACCAATTACGATTATATCTTTATTTCTATATATAGAACTAATATCATATTCAAATGCATACAACACATTTATAGTTAAATTATATTCTTTAAGTATGTTTAAATGACTGTAAATTATTGAATTATTATAAACAAAGAACTTATCTACATTACCAATTAATATTCTATGATCAATTGAGTATAAATTATTATTTAAATAAATAATATTATTTCTAAATATAGATATGATTGTATGAGTTACTTTTATACTTTTAATTAATTTAAGACCGTTTTCAATTAAAGAAGAACTATCCAAGGACATAAACCTGACTTTCTTTACATTTTTATTTTCAATCAAATTTAAATTTGTTAAATTACTAGTTAAACAATCTGAATCATTTTCAAAATTTAAGTGATTAATTGGTTTTCTAATTTGTTTTAAACCAATTTTTATATTTGGTTTATTAAAATTAACACCCTTTAATTTTTTAATTTCCTCTTTTAGATACATAATCTCCTTTTTCAATCTGATGACTTCTAAATTTTTATTATCAGATTTAATAACTTCCTTTTCTAAATAAACATTAGAAGCTCTCGCACAAAAATTAAGAGTATTAACACTCTCTAACACATAATCAATATTAATACATCCAATAATCAATACATTGCTATTTAATACACTTTCTAGTATTCTAGTTAATTTAGAATCTCTATAAGGAACATAAGTATTTTTATTTTTAGTCTTTTTATATAAGGCATTAATAACATTACCTAAAGCCAGTAACCCACTATTAATACTAACAGTAGTTCTTAAATTATTATCATTAAATCTTTCACTACCAGCTAAATCAATAAAAGATAACTTACAATCATTGTGAATAATATTTATAATAATATGAGATCTACTACTATTTGCATTCATTTTAGTAGATTGAACAGTTCTATTATTTAAGGCAATATCTAGATATTCTATAGCTTTATCATAACTATTAACAGTAATTTCATTTAAGTTTAAAATAAGCTTATCATTTGATTGTCTTAAAATAAGCTTATTATTGTTAAAAAGATCATAAATGTTTTCATTATAAATTTCAATACTAGAAATTGTAAGATTGTTTGTGTTATTAAACAAATAAAATAAACTATTAAATATTAAACCAAAATTATTTTCTATTAAAAGATTATTCTTTAACATAGAATTATCTCTATTAAAAAGAGTGAATGTTTTACCACTACCAGTCTGTCCATAAACAATAATAGAAGCATTCTTATTATCTAAAAACTCATTTAAAACAAATTTTATGTTATCAAATATTTCATACTGTGATTCATTAAAATAAACCCTCTCAAAAGAATAAGTTTTATTATTGATTGTACATTCATTATTATTTATATTAATTAAAGAATTGAGAGTATTTGTAGGTTTAATTCTAACATGCACTGATATCTTATTTGATTTATCATTCATTTAATTAAATAAAAATTCTCATAAAAATATTTTTACTGATTTTATTTTTCATAGTCTTGAATTGTGATAATAAAATCATTTTCTAATAACTGATTAACTACTTCTTCTTTATTATCTTTTAGTAAAACTGAGGGGGTGTACAAACCTTTTATATTACTTTCTAATAAAAAATTAAATAAAATTTTCAGATAAATTGATGTTGATAAGTAAGCACCTTCTGGTCCATTAACCTTCATAATTCGCTTGTTATCTAGAAAAATCATTTCAAATCTTTCAGTTTCATCAAATTGATCTATTTTATAATCTTTTACTAAATTACAACTGAATATTCTATAATGTTTTCTTAAAAGTTCTCTCGTGGCGGAATATTTAGATAATAAAAATAGTATAAAAAATACTAAACTAGTAATTAAAAGTATAAAAAAATTATCAACTGTATTGTACATAACACATGAATAATTATTAAAGTAATTAAATGACCTTTTAAGTATGTAGTTATCTGGACCCATTGATCTAACTAAATATTTCTTTAAGTATTCACTAAAGATATAAAACTCTGGTTTCTTACTTAAATTATTGCTGTTATTCTTATTCTTTTTATGTTCATTATAATGTTTTAAACTTTCTATTAACGACAACCAAGTGCCTTTATTAATTTTATTAGAAGATTTTGATAAAATTATTTTACAATTAAAATTTTTAAAGAAATAAGAACTAAAAAAATCTGATGTAAATGATAAGAACCCACAAGACTGAACAATAACAATATTATTTACATCTTTGTATTTTTCATAGATATCTTTTAAAAAGTGTACTTCTCCTGTAATATCAATATAGTGAGTGTTAGTTTCAATACATGCGTTTATTATTTCTTCTCCTGTGTGGGTGTATGGACCTGCTAAATTGATTAAAATTTTTGTTTTACTAGTGATTTCTTTTATTTTATCAACAGTACAAGGGATTTTATCAAAGGTTGTTTTTATACCTTTAACATTCCTACTTGATACTGCTATCTTATGTTCTTTATCATTTTCTAATTGTTTTATTAAATGTTTAGCTGTAAAACTACTTGCTCCATAAATGATTAAATCATACTCCTTCATTATTAATTTTTATAAAAATTTTTTATTAAAAAAATTTATCATATTTAAGATTTAAAAAATAATTATAAATTTAAATCTTTAATATGATAAAAAAATAATATTAAAATTTATCAATAAAATAAGTTTATATTATTAATTTGTAATTTTAGAATGATAATGTTCAATTATAAACAATATTTTAAAATTATAATAAGGTAACTATTGATAAAATTTCAATCAGAATTAAAATATTATTAAAAAGAAAATTAAATTAAAAGAAATTAATTGTTTTATCTATGATTTTATTTATTAAATTTATTAAACACAAACCTTTTTTAATTAATTGATTTAAAAGATCAAAAATAAAAAAAATAAAAAAAATCACCCCAAATGAATTATAATTTTGTACTTGTAATTTTTATCAACTATAATCTTAAAAATATATCCAGTGATTTATTGTATGGCTTTAGAAAAAAGCATTTAAAATTTATAGATAAACTTTTTAATGAACATTATAAAGAAACTAAAGAAATTTATGATATTTACAAAATTATTAATTCAAATACTAAAGAATTTATTAGACAAAACACCATCTATAATTATGTGTGCGAAAAACAAATAATGATAAAAAATGAAATAGAAATAAATGAAGATATATTAAAATTATATGAAAATATTAGTTTAAAAAATATTGAAGGTTTAAAAAATATTGATAAAACAAAAGATATTGATGGTTTAAAAATTATTGAAAAAATAAAGAATCTTAAAAAGAATCTTAAAAACAATCTCATAAATCTTTATGAATACTGGCATGCTTTAAATAGGGGATTAGTAATATATGAAGTTTTTAAACAATTAACAGATGCCTTTTTTTTAAGAAATTTAATGATCAGATATTATTTTGATGATCAGCAAATCGAATACATTAAATGGAAAAAAATAGAAGAATTTAATAAGTTATTAAAGTTTAATCAATACTTTCATATTATTGATGAAATTAAAATCTTAATATTTTCAGATAATATCGATCTAGATATAATGTTTAAAAGGAAATTTGAAATCTATTATTATTTACTTTGCAAATACTATTGTTATTTAAAAACTCAAAGTGAATTAGATTGTGAAGAAATAGGTATAAATATAGTAGCTTTTACAGAGATTGTTTATGATGAATTAGATAATTTAAGAATACTCTTAGGATTATTATAATAAAAATTTTAATTAAAAATTTAAATAGTATGTCTTCTAACAATAACTCTATTACTAGTCTTTCTTAATTTCCATTTTCTAATTTCCTTTTTAGCACACTCATATCCTGCACTAATAATCTGATCAATATAAACAAATGAATGACCAGTGTAGACAGCTAAATTAGGTTGAATTAATAAGAAATTTTCAGTTGGTCTATTTTTAAACTTATTATCAGTTTCCATAAAAATTAATAGATTTTGTAAACTGGAATGTGATAGAAGATTTGTCTTTCCAAATATAAATCTCTTAATAAATAAAATAAGTCCACTCCAGGCATAATTTGGATCAGCATCATAATAGGATGGTATTTCATCAGGTGTTTCTACAACATTAACTGCTATTATATCTTTAACACCCTTACTCTTATCTATTAAATAGTTCCATGGAACATTATTAACATACACTCCATCAATTAAAAGTCTATTTTTATATAGAACGGGTGGTAAAAACCAAATTAATGAACATGATGCTAATAAAAAAGTTTTAAGTGGTCCTTTAGTACAAATTGATTCACATCTATTAGTTAAGTCTGTAACACAACAATAGAATGGTAACCACAGTGAATCAAAAGTATAATCACTAAATACTTTATCGAGTATATTTTTAAAAATTCCTCCCTGAAAAACTGACACGTAAGGAAATGTAAAATCAAATATAATGTTAATCCATGATACTGCTGTATTAGCCATACTTTGAGTCATGTAATAAACTTGAGAAACATCAAGTGTGGCTGAGTAAAGTGCTCCTATTATAGCTCCCATAGATGTACCTCCTATTATATCAATTGGTACATTCTCTTCAACTAGTGCCTGTAAAACACCAACATGTGCAAACCCTCTAGCACCACCACCTCCCAGTACTAATCCAACTCTCTGTCCTGTTAGATACCTAGCCATTCTCTGATAATCACTTAAATCAAATATCTTATGATCAGCCCTTATTCTTTCAATTTTCTCAATTGGTTCGATTTTATTATATTTCCTAAAATAGAAAATTTTAATAGAATAAACAATACTCATAAAGAAATTCGTAATTCTTTCGCTGAAATAATAATTCAATTTGGGTAAAGTCCTTCTCATACAAAGTCTGATAGTTTCATATCCAGAAGTATCCATCTCCTGTGAATCTTCTGTATTAAGAACTAAAAATTTTTTAAAGCTTAAAAGCTTAAAAAAATTGATGTAACATTTACTCCTGTCAAAATCTTTATCCAAACTAATAAGAACATATTTTGATGTTAGAGAATCTATAAATGAAGAAAGTAAAAAATCCACACAAGCAGAATTTAAAAGAAAGCTTTTCTTCTCATTTTCTACTTTATACTTACTTAAAAATTTTTCAATATTAGTATAACCAATTAACTTACAATCATCAAGTGCTAAGATACTCTTATACAGATTAAATGAAACACCCTCAATATTTTTACCAATAAGTAACAATACTTTAGTTTCATTAGACCAATCTTTATTTTTAAGTGCAAAGAATAATTGTCGGAAAAAGTATGGATACTTGTGTAAAAATAAATCAAGAGTATATTTTTGTATTCCAAATACATCTGTAATAACATTATTAATATAATTATCATTTTTGTTTTTAAAAACATCATCATAAATTTCTAAAAAATTAGTTAAATTCCAATTACCATATTTAGAAAAATACACATTTTTATCGTCAATACTCGGTTTAATAGTTCTTTCGTACGTCATTCCGTACAACAACAAATCAATATTACCATCTTTAAATATAGAAAACATAACTGATTTAAATTTTCTATAAATGATCTTTCTTACACTATCAATCATTGGATAGAAGTGATAAAGTACAAGTTTTGAATCAGCAGTAGCAACATAAACAACATTCTTAGTTTTTAATTCAACTTCAGATGAAATAAAAGAAGGTGTAAAGAAAATATCACCAGTCCTAAATACACCAGTCATTATATCATCATAAAACAAAGTAATTTCTCCTCTGATAACCTTAAATACAGAATAATTCATTACAGTCTTGTGAGTTTTAGATCTCTTTTTATTAATATCAAGTATGTAAGTTTTATTTAATTTAAATGCTTCCACGCCTCTAACAAAATTCTCTATGAAATTTGATTTGTTATGTTGAATTTCTTCTAATAAAAAATTATCACAACTTGGCTCTTTAACATTTTGTTCATTCAAATCTTCTTCTTGTCTTTTTGGTTGTAATTTTATAATTAAAACTACTCCAATCAATAAAGCTATACTTATAAGAAGCAATCTTATACTTAACATTTTACTAAAGCCATTAATTTTTTCATAATCAATCATTACAAGTGGCTTATGTTATGGGTAAAAATATTTTTATTATAAAAACATTTAATTAAAATATGGATGTTTTAGAATATTCTCCATTGAAATTCTATCTACTGAGTTGTATCTTAACATTCTTGTAAGTAAATCAGTTAGAAGGTCATCTGAACATCTTTTTTTTAAATAACTTCTTATACGATCTTTTCTTTTTATTATTTCAGTGTATATTTCTTCTTTTTCTGATCCAAAAATTGATTTACCAAATAATAGTTCTGTCATTATTACGGCTAATGACCAGACATCTATTTTTGTTGTATAATTAGTCATTCCTTCAAAATTTTCAGGTGCTCTGTATATAGCATTTGTTATATAAGATACATTTTGTTTGCTATTTAACTCTTTAGCATTGCCTAAATCACAAAGAATCAATCTTCCTTCTTTTACGAGAATATTGTCTGGTTTAAGGTCTCGATGGCAAATATTTTTGGAGTGCATATAAGCCAGTGCATCAACTAAATTTTTAAATTGATCTTTAAAATTTTTAGGTAATTTATATTTTCCAAATAAGGATTTTTTTCTCCCTTTTTTCATAACATCATATAAATTATTACCACCATACTCAAGAATCATAGTACATAATCTTCCATGTTCATTATAATCAGAATACCTGTGGTAGTACAACTTTATTATGTTAGGATGATTAAGTCTTCTTAAGTTATCAACTTCTCTATTACAGTAATGTTTGTTTTCAAAAACTTTTTTTATTGCAAAAAATTTACCCCTTGATTCAATCAATCCAACTATACCAAATGTACCAACACCAATTAATTTAAAAATTTTATACTCAAACTCAACAATTTCATCTTTTTTGTTAAAAAACTTTTCTTTAATAACCTTGTTAATTAACTGATTAAAGTTTTCCTTTAATTCTGCATTCATTAATATTTATTAAAGAGTCAAACAAATAAAATTTTAAAACAGTAAAATGATTCGAAACAAATAAAACAATTCAAAATAAAGGGGTTATTGTATGAGTAAACAAAAAAAGATAGTTAAGTTCAATTTAATGAATAACGTAATAAGAAGTGTGCCATATAAAAAGTATAATGATATTGTTTGGACAGTTGAGGATGACATTTATGTACTTGAATTAAACAGATTAGAAATTAAAAATAATGAAACTTTCATAGAAAAAAATACATTTATAGAAAAAACAAGTGAATTAGAATATAATGAAGTTTTACAAACAAATCAGTTTTCAAATGATAAAATAATTACATTTGAAAATCCAGTGGTATTTGAAATAACACCTAATAAAAATTCATTTAATAATTTGAATGAAAATAATAAAATTCCCAAATTTGCAGACAATCCTTTCATATTAAATGATAAAAAAGAATAAAAATTATTTCCTATTAAGTAAATTTTAGTATAAAAAATTTTAATTATGAATTGATGTACCGGCTATTTCTTCTCTAGTATATCCACTCAAATAGTTATTTCCAAGACGTTTGGCTTCTTTAGTAAGATCATTAGTAGTTGGTCTTAAATCTTGATCATTGTAATATGGATTATTTTTCATTGTATCATCAATATCAGCCACATAGTTATTGTTTAAATAATCCACAACTTGGTTATTTACTTCCCTAGGAGTTTCATTTGGCATGCCATCATAATAATTATTGTATAATTTCTTAATTCCTTCAGTTTTACCATCCTCACCCCTTATGTCTAAGAAATAGTTGACATTATGAGTAGCCTCATTTTCAGGTACTATCCTTCCTGGTCTTTGATAATCTAAATATTCATCTGGTTCTTTGTAACTTACATTGAAATTATCACTAATATTTAATTCATTCGGATCTAAACCATATTTTCTATTAAAATGATCTAAAATATATTTTTTAGCCATAATAATACCAGTTGCTAAATCATCATGTTCAGGCTCCCTTTCAAAACGTTTTTCATGAATTATGTTGTTATTTTCAACATTATTATGTTGTTGAAGGTGATTTTCAAGTTCTTCTAATTTCTCTTCTATCAGTTTTTGATTTTCATGATTTTCTAAATTTTCTTGAAAAAGCTCTCTTCTTTTTCTTTTTAGTTCACTAATATCATTTTCTAAATTTTTTCTTTCATATTCAGCTTTTCTTTTAACTTCTATATTTGAACAATCACTATTTTTCATACATTCACCAGCCACCTTATCAATACCACATCTCATTTCAGAAATTCTGTTCATATCTAAATATCTGTTTAAATCCCTACTGTTTATCATTTTAAAAATACTGTAAATTCTTAATAAAAACATGTTTAAAACATTTATTTCCTTTTTAAATCTAGTTTTAAAAACGTTTTAATTTTGTTTCATTATTTTCATGTTTTTATTTTTAGAACTTATTAAAGGAACTTTTTATAACAGTTTACCAAGACCAGTTAGAAATAATGAAAATTTACATGAAGCATTTAAAAGAGGTGATATTAAGTACAAAACAATCAACTGTGTGAGATCTAAGAACCAGGAATGTGAAAGTGTAATTACTATCAAATACAGTATTTTTCAATTTAGAAATAATTCAGTAAAAGATTCTCAATTTCTAGCACTCTTTATTATGAAAAACTGGAAATCCATTAAATTAGACGTCTCTGATAAATCAATAGAAATTAAGATTGTTAAATCATTTAAAAAATCATTTAAAAGTAAAAAAATTTCTATTAGATTGGATGAATGTCGTTTTAAGGGATTAAGAGATTTAATTAAATTGCTGGTTATTCTTTATAAGAAAAGTGAAAGTGAAAACAGAATCATTGAGAAAGAAATTAAAGTAAATAAAGAAAAAATAGTTAAAATAAAAACAATAGATGATCGTGTATTTATGTATAAAACACCAAATGATATATCCTTGAATATTCCATTCAATAGTTATTTAAACATTAATGATTATAACAGTTTATTAGAACGTGTTAATCCACATTTTCAATATGCTTTTATAAAGAGAAAATCAATTAGCACACAAAATAATTTATTTAATGTTTTATATGAAGATAAATCAGATGAGAAATTTAAATTATTAACTAATGCAATTAATAATGCCTTTTTTAAATTAAAGAATTTAAAGCCTGGTTTGAATTCTATTGGATATTTTAAGCTCAAAAAAATATTATTAAATTTTTAAAAAATTTTATAAGATGTTTAGTTTGATTTTAATAAAACTTATTTTAACTTTAATTATACATTAAAAATAGTTGAAGATAGTTATTCTGATTGTAAATACATTGGTGTTAAGTGTAATATAGAATTAGCTATCATTAATCTACTTATTTATGAACATCGTAAATTAAAGATAAAGTATTGTAAGAAATCTATCAAAATTAAACATATTAATTGTGAAAATGATTGTAAAATTAATAAGGTTTATTTACAAAGCAAAAGCTTTAAATTAATCAAGTTTTTTATAAATGTTTTAAAAAATTATAAAAAAATAAAACATAAAGAGGTTTATTTGAAAAATGAATTGATTAAATTTAAAATACCTACATTTAAGAATAAAGTGATCTTGTTTAAAATAGAAGATATGATAATATTTGAATTACCTATTGATGTTTATTGTAGTGATGTATATTTAGAGAATTTAAAAGAAGAATTAGGATTAAATGATGAATACAAGTGTAATGATTTTAATTTTAATTTTAAAGTAAAAAGTGATTGTAATATTTACTTAACTGAAAATTTTAAATTACTTAATGAATCTTTAGAAGAATTTGATGATGGAATAATAATATTGAAATTTAAAAAATTTTATGATTTATTTATTTTAAAACCTGAAAAGATTAATAAAATTAAAGGTTATAAATTAATAAGATATTATTAATAAATAATTAATTTTAATAAAATGTAATTAATAAAAAAGTGATATTTTTTTAATTAAGAAGTCTTTTTGTATTAATAACTGAACTTATTTTTATAAAAATACATCAATTTAAAACTGTTTTATGTGTTAGTGATTATAAAAATAGAAAATAAGACATATTTTAAGTAAAATAAGATGTAATTTTGAATTAAAAACAGTTATTTATTTTTATTAAAATAATTTAATTAACTATCTTTTAAATTTTTAAATAAAACATCTTAAGAAAGTTTATAAATGTTATGATTTTATTTTTAGAAATTTTAATCAATCAATTTATTTTTTTTAATCAATTGATTAAAATATTCTATTGAAAATAAATATTTGAAAAGATATTGTTTAAATTGAATATTTATTTAATATTAATATTCTATTTTAAAAATTTTTAATTAGTTTCCTATAAATTTAAATTTTTTTTTAAAAAGATTAATAATATTTTTATGTTGATGAGATTAATGATTCTATTTTTTAAAATAACTTATAATAGAGATTATGATAATGTAATTTATAACAGAGATTATGATAATGTAAATAGGGGACTTTTTAATATAAATTTTTTAAGTTTTAGAAGATTTATTTTAAATGAAATAAAAGCTACTTCTGATAAAGCAACAATGACAGAAAGACAAACAAAATCTGAGTTTAATAATAAAAACAAGCTATCAGACCATATAGTTTTAATGATTTTTATTTTTTAAGAAATGATTCCTTCTTAGATATGATAAAAATACCAATTGTAGATAAAACCCCTACCAATGAATTAGAAGAAGAAAGTACACCTTTGTTGAATAAACTAACTAAATCAGTAAAGGCAATAAAAATTGTTCAAATTATAAAAAAAGATAGTTTATTAGAATATAATTATAATGATCAACTTGAATTATTAATTCAAATAATGTTTACTTATTGGAATGTTATAAAAATAATAATTAAAGATAAAAAAATCACTATGTATTGTAATGAGAATCAAAAAATATTTGATTCTCTATTAAAATTTGAAATTGATAAAAGGAATTTTGAATTTTTAAAGTACATTTTTGAAATGTTTAAGATCATTGAAAACAAGAAAGAAATAATTCCTAAATTTAAACACCTAAAGGTTCCAATGGGTTATAAAGAACACCCTTTTTTAATTTACAAGAACAAAATTATATTATCAAAAAAAGATAATTATTTAATATTTGGAATTTATTTGAATATTAATGAAATTTTTTATAATAAAATGAAAGAAAAATTAGAAAAGCACTCAGTTAAATGCTTAATAGAATTTGATCGTAAATTTATTTATCCTTGTAGAATAACAAATCAATTTAAAGAGCACGTATCTTGTTATATTTTTACAAAAAAACCATGGAGTGAAAAAACATTTGGTAAATTATTAACTTCACTACAAGATGGTTATCATTTAATTGATTATGATGATTTAATAGAAAATTTTTAAATAAATTTGTTTTAATAATTTACTTAATCACATGAAATAATATAAAATTTGATTAAATTTATACTTTATCATCTTTATAATAAAGTATAAATTTGATAAATGTTTAAAATTGATTTTATAAATATAAAAACTAGTTATTTATAAGTTATAAAGTTTTTATTAATTTTATTAAATATGTTTTATTAAAGAATTTATAATAAAATAAATTCCTTTGTAAATATTAAAAATAAGAAAAATAAATCTGAAAAACTTAAAAATCAATCAAATTTAATATTATAATAAAATAGTCATAAAAGTATAATACTTTTTGGATAATATATTTGAATTAAATCACCTGTTTATAAACAACAAAAAAATAATTTAAAATATTATTTTATCTTATTTTATAGAAAATTTAAAACATAATTTGTTATTTTTAATTAAAATTTTAATTATTAGTAATTTTATTAAACAAAATTAGTTAAATAAAATTAGATTTTTTAAAAAATAAATAAAAAAATATATAAAATAAAATTCTTTTACAAATAAAAGATAATATTTGATATTAATAATTTAAATTTTTTTATAATCAATTTTTAAATTATTTTTTAAACAATTAAATGATAAAAAAATTCTATCATTAAAAACTCTAGTGATTTATAAATATTATTTGAAACAGAATTGTAAATCTTTTAATAAATTTTAACTGTAAAAATAATGATTGATTTAGTGATAAAAAATTAGTATCAAATAAACGTTTTAATAAATAAAAATATCATCAAAACATTTTTATAAAATTAAAATTCTAATTACGTAATTAACAATTATTTGAAATTATCAATTTATTTCCATAATTATAAATTCCATAACTAATTTTATTAAATAAGAATTTTAATATAAGAAATTGAATAAATTAATGTTTTATTAATATCCTATAATATTTTAAATTTTTATAAAAAATAAAAATTTAAAATAATCAAAAAAATGTTGTTAAGATTAGTAAGTCATCTCATGAAAATAATTTATAAAACAACTGAAGAGAAAGTTAATTATAATAAAAATTATGTAAGGATACCAATAAAGCTTTTAAACACCTTTAATTATAGAATATTTATGTTTAAAAAAATAAAAGGTGCTTCTAATGAATGGTTAACCAGTGATTATACAGGACAAATTAATTTAAGTCAATATGAATTATTTGATACACAAATACAAAATGAACAATCTAAAAAAGAAAAAATTGATATTAAAAATAAACCAAATGATGAAAAAAAAACAATTGTTTTTTTAGAAGAAAACAATGATTTTTCTTTTTTAAATGAAAATGGTTTTTTAAACATAGATAAGACGCTAATTAAAGAAAAAAAGATGCCCAAGTTATCAAAAAAAGGAAAATACACACGTTTGGAAAGTAAAAGTTCAAAAGGAAAAAATCTTAAAATAGTTGAGGTTATTGAAGAAAATAGTCTTTTAGGATATAATTACAATGAACAGTTTGAATTATTAATTCACATAATAAAGATGCATTGGAAAATATTGAGAATTGAAATAAAAAGTAACAGAATTCTGATGTACTGTAATAAAAGTCAACCAATTTTTACTCATAAGTTAAAATTTAAAATCAATAAAAGATTGCTAAAAATTCTTAAACATGTGTTTAAAATGTTAGAATTATTTGAAAAGAAATGTTTAGATCTAAAAAGCCATCAGATGAAATATGGAGTACTTAATGATGGTGTTGTATATTTGAATTTTTTAATTTATGATAATAAGGTTCTGTTATTTAAAAAAAGAAACAAACTTTTGTTTGGAATAAATGTATTTAGTAGTTCAAAATGGTATAATGAAATGGAAAAAATATTAAAATTACATAAAGTTGATTGTTTATTGAAATTTGATAGTGAATATTCTATTAGTCATGAAATTGAAAAAAAATTAAACACTTTTTCTTCAATTTTAAATTTAGATCAAGAAAGTTATCTCAAAAGAAAATTTTATAATCTCTTAATTTCATTAAATAATGGTTGGCATTTGATTGATATTGAAGAAATAAAAGAGAGAATATTAAAATATTAAAAATTTTTTATTAAAAATGATTTTTTATCTTATAATTACAATTTTAAGTTTAGCAATACAAATAAACAATCCGAAGAAACAGAAACTACCAAAAAATCAACCAATAAGGAATTTATTTTCAAAATTTAGAGAAATAGTTTCATCTATAAATCCATTTAAAAAGTCAAACACTGAATTAAATATTAAAACAAACAATAAAACAATTAAGAATACAAAAGATGTAGAAATATGTCTTTCATTTATAATTCTGTATTGGAAAAAACTAAAAATAACAGAAAATGATAATTTAATAAAGATTAGTGTTGATGAAGAAATAAAATTTTCAAAGACTAAAATTAAAATAACAATAGACAAAGAATCATTTAAAACTATAAAATTAGTAATTAATATGTTAAAAAATGATAAAAAAATATTAAAGGATGAAATAATAACAGTTCTAGATAAAAACAATGAGTTAATAACATATTTCAATAAATATGAAGAAAGAGTGTTTGTAGAAAAAAGAAATGATGAAATAAGCTTTAATTTAACCAATTATGGAAATATTGATTATTTTAATAAATTAACAGAATATTTAAAAGAAAAGGAAATAATACAAAAACATGAATTTGATAATACTTTATGTTATGATTCAGATTCAATAGTTTTTAAAATATGCACACCCTCATTAGATTTTATGTTATTTAAATGGGAAGAAGGAATAAACATGATAGAAGCAGAGGAATTTAAAGAGTATTTTAAATAATAAAAGAATTTTATTTTTCTCTTGAGTGAATCTTATTAACTTCTTCAGCTAACCATTCAAATCCAATCTTAATTTGACTTTTTTCAGCAAGTATATCATCATTAATAACACTCATATAAACAATACGAATATTAGGTCTATTAGGGATTTGAAAGTATTCTTCAATAGACTGTCTAAAAGGCATAGAATTTCTCAAAGCCATCTCACTATCATTCATATCACTGTAATCAGTAAGATCCAATTTGTTCATAAAAATAAGAATGGGAGTGTCAATATTCCTATGTAAGACAGAATTTAATTCATACTTACAAACTTCATACTTTTCCTCATCAAAAAGATCAATCATAAAGATAATACCATGAGCAGCAAATAAGAAATCTTCCCAATTGAGTCTTCCCTTATCATGTCCACCCAAATCAACAATAGTCCCCTTAATATTACAGAAATCAAAAGTAGTGGTAATTGGATGCTTAGTTGGTTTATAAATGTTGTTTGTGTTAGTGAGTATTTTACCAACAAGGGTTGACTTACCAGAATTTTCAATACCAATAATTGAAATGGTTGATTCTTTAACAAATAAATTCTTAAAGAAATAATTAGTAATGCTTTTAAAAGTATCAACTACACTGTCTTTAACCCAAGATAAATCTTTTAAACTACTTTTTATAGATTCAGATAATTCATATAAACTTTTGTTAAACGCCATTGAATATTTTGGGGCTTATAAAAAATTTATTAAAATTCTAATAAACGTAACATTTCTTCAGTCACTATTCTCTTATGAGGTTGATAATCAAGAGACTTAAATATTATTTGTATTATACTTGAGGGTGTGTTATGGTTTATTAGTATTGTGTTAATTTTATCAAAATTTATATTTGAACAGAGAAGTAACTGTTCTTCTTTAGATTGTCCTGGTAATAAGGGATGTTCGGTTATTATTTCATAAAGTATACATCCAATACTCCATACATCTACTTCATATGAGTACTGTGTAGTGTTCATAAGTAATTCGGGTGGTCTATACCAGAGAGTAATTACCTCTGGGGAATATTCATGATCAAATACTCCTATATATCTAGATAGTCCAAAGTCTGTAATTTTTAATTTTCCTGTTTTGGAAATTAAAATATTAGAAGGTTTTAGATCTCTATGAATTATTCTATTGGAATGCATGTAATTAACTCCTCTAATTAGTTGTAATATTAAACTGTATTTATCAAATTGTAGTGTCTTGTTAGTTAGACAGTCTACCAGATCATAATGAACATATTCTAATACAATTATTACTGATTCATGATTAATAATCACATTTAGTAGTGAAATAATATTCTCGTGATTTAAAAGCTTCAAAATGGCTATTTCTCTCATCGTAGTAGATGGAATACCCTCATTCTTTTTTATAAAACTTCTTTTTATAGCTACAGACTTACAGAGTTCTCTATCATATGCTTCATAGACAGTTGCATATGTTCCTGAACCTATTTTCTTAACTTGTATAAACCTTTCATTTCTCATAAATAATATTTATTTATTTATATAAAATGTATTAGATTTTATTCTCATTAAAACTTCTTCTTTTATAAATTTAATTTCTTTTTCACTCAAATATTCCTTAGTTATTTTTACTATTTCTTCTACTCTCTTTAAATTAGCTTTTTTATCATTTAACTTTACTTTATTTTCTATTAAAGTTACTTCATCTTCTTTTAAATAGTCTTGAACTGATTCTATTAAATCACTAACTCTCATCTTTATAAAAGAATTCAACATTTTATTAAAAATTTAATTAATTTTTCTTATCAATCATTTCATATAAAATTATTATCAATCTTTTGAGGGTTTCATAAGCTAGTGAATTTCTAGCTGAACATACTGTTGGTTTCTTTTCTAGATTAAATTGTGATAAAATGATGTTATGCTTTGATTCATAGTTCATTTTAGTAAATCCCAATGAACTTCCTAAAAATGATCCTGTGTATTCTCTTTTCTTTATTAAATACTTTGATATTTTAGATTCTCTATTCTCAAATAAATCAAAATTGTGATTCTCAAACTCCCAATGTACTTTATTTAATAAATCTGATCTATTCTTTTTTATTCTTTTTATATTTTTAAGTATGTTTAAATATTCTTTTAATAACTTCTTTTGTTCCATTTTATTTATCTTTCTAATTAAAATTAAAATTTTATTTAAATTTTTATTCATTAAAATCCAATACAAATTAAATCTACTAATGAATTTACCCACTTTGTTTGGTATTTTTTAACAAACATTTGTGATGGTTTTATCACATTACTTTTAATCATATCATTAAAAATTTGACTAACTGATTCCATTTCATTAAGTTGAATAGTAGTTAATTGATTTTGATTAATACTTTCATAAGTACTAATATTTTCTATTGCTTGCATCTTTCTTCTATTAGTAACTATTGAATTTTTTTCTAAAGCTTTAGTTTTTGCTTTATAAATAACAGTGTTAAATTCTGTTATTATTCTATTCTTTATTGAAATATCCATTGAATCGTTTGAATTTTGAATACTACTAGAAGGTTTGTTAAATGATGTCATAGCTTGAGAGTTTGTTGGAATATTATTAATAAATGGTGATTTAGGTATTGGATTATTGATACTCATATTAGACAAATTATTAGTAATGTTATTCATAGATTGATTGTTAAATTGTTGATTTGAACTCATTGAAGGGGTTCTAGGTGCATTGAATGATTGACTTGGATTAACTGATGGAGTCATTGGTCTACCTAATGATGAAGATGGGTTAAAAGATCTATTAACACTGTTCATTGAAGGTGTCATGGGCCTGTTTAATGTTGAAGAAGGATTGACAGGATGATAAACATTACTCATAGATCTATTTAATGTTGCTGATAGATTACTCATAGTATTAATAGATAGATTACTCATAGTATTAATAGATTGATTATTCATAGAGGGATGACTGTTCATTGTATTAACAGATGGGTTGCTCATAGAAGGATGACTGTTCATGGTATTAATAGATTGATTACTCATAGAAGGATGACTGTTCATTGTATTAACAGATGGGTTACTGATTGTATTACTCATAGAAGAATTACTGTTGATTGTATTAACAGATGGGTTGCTCATTGTATTACTAATAGTAGGATGGGTGAAATTATTTAAAGAAGGGTTACTCATTGTATTACTAATAGTAGGATGTGTGAAATTATTTAAAGAAGAACCACTTGCTATATTAATAGAAGGGTTACTCATTGTATTACTGATATTATTAAAAGAAGGAGTAGACATTGAAGGATTAACTGGTCTATTCATATTATTCATTGAAGGATTAACTGGTCTATTCATACTATTCATTGAAGGATTTACAGGTCTATTCATATTATTCATTGAAGGATTTACAGGCCTATTCATACTATTCATTGAAGGACTAATTACAGATCTATTATTAATAATAGAATTATTCATATTGTTCATAATAACCTTATTTTCTTTAATTTCCTTATAAGTATCTATTTCTTTATTAATAACTGCTAATTGAGATACTTCATCATATTTACCTACACTTACTTTATACCAGAAATACTCATCCAAATACTTTGATACAATTGGCTTATCATTAGTTAATAAAATCTTTTCTATAGTGTTAATATTCTTATAAATATTATCATCTAATACCAATCTATTATTAACAATCATTGATTGATCATTAGTTAATATTCCATTAAGAATTTGTCCTTCCCTATCATATAAAACCTCATTCATCAAATCTTTATTAGTATCTAAATTATGATAAATAAGTATTGCTGCTAATATTCTTGAATTAGTAATTCTCTTTAGATGTTTATAATCATTGAATAAGATACTTGTTAATAGAAGGGTTGGAAAATCACTTATACTATTAAATATTGAATTATCTTTATCGATAAGTGATATTAATAAATTAATACTAACTAATTGATCACTATTGTATTTTACGATATCATTCTTAATTAAATGGATATTCTCTTTAATATCAACATCAATATCTTTATTAACATCTATTTCTATCTGATAATCATAATTTTCTAATAAAAAATCACAAACAACTGATTTGTTACCTTCTGATACTTTAACTGATAATTCATCATAAAACCTATCACTCAATTCACTAATAGAGTAGTCTTTATTATGATCTTTAAAGTTTATCTCTTTAATGTCATTATTGCCATTAATTATTAAATTTTCCTTCCTAATATGTATTTCTCTTTCTGGTAATTTAGGTATATACATTATTTCAGTATCATTACCCGTAGTAAAACATATCATACCATCATTTGATAAGTTAATGTTATCTACATCATTTCCTATGTAATTAGCCAACTTAATAGGCTCCTTATCCTTCGAGTACAATTCAATTACATTACTTGAAATAACTACTTCATTGTTAAAGTCAATGATTGGTGTATCATGCTCTGCATAGATAACAAAGCTATCATCATTAAAATCATACGCATAGATAATTCCATTACACAATACAAGCATCTTAGTACTACCATTATCAGACCATCCTATCTTAGACATGCCTTTCAATTCAGATTTATAGACAGTAGAGACAGGTGAACCCTTTCTAATATCAATTAACTTTATATTACCACTTGCCATACCTAAAGCTACAATTTTAGCTGCTCCTGGATTCCATGACACAGTAGTAACGTCCTTCAAATGCAAATCCAACACCAATTGTTCGTTAAACGTACCAATATCTAAAAATAACATTCTTCCATCTTTTCCACAAATACAAATTAAATTTTTGGAGGGAATGTAATCCACACACACAACTTCCAATTCTATTGGTATTGAAGTAAACAACTCTAAATTCTCACCATTATACACAAATACTGACAGAGATCCATTCTCATGTACTCCTATTAAATAGATTCCACCATTAATGTCTTCTATCCACTTTAAGTGAACAAACTTCTCTTCAACTACAATACCACGCCTTGTACAATTTTTATAGTTTATTAATATCACTTCACTTGAGAGTGAGAATGAACTATCAAATAATCTTGATTTAGATGCTAATGCTACCATTGGATACTTAGTTGAAAATGCTGAAATACACTTCTTATTTACTATCATTTATAAGGGTTAAAAAAAGTTTGATTTATTTATAAATTTTAAATTAAATCTTAATGCAACTAATTGAAAATTAGTTTTTATTTAATTATGTTTGTTTGTTAAAAGAAACAAATTTTAATATTTTGTCAAACAAAATATTAAATTTTTTATAAAAGTTTTTATAAAAAATTTTAATGGACGAGATAACAACAAAGATAGACAATTTGAACGTAAAAAGCGGGTATAAGCCTGTAAAGTTAAAAAACATCAGTAAAGACATGGTTGGAGAGAAGGTACATTTCTTTGGATGGGTTAGTAAGTGTAGAGCTCAAAAGAATGTATCTTTTATGGACATTGTTAGTGGTTATAGTACCATAAAGGCAGTTTTTAAAGGATGTGTTAAACACACTATTCATACTTCGTTGCATATCTGTGGAGAGGTTAAGGAAAACTTAGGAAAAGATAAGTCTGAATTTGAAATAGTAGTAGATTCTTATGAAATTTATTTGGGTAAACAAGCACCTGTTTTGCCTATTGCATCTGACAGCAACAAAGATGATCTACTTAAGCATGGCCATTTAGCAATAAGATTTCCAGAGAGAAGATTATTTTTAGAGGCAAGAAGTGCTCTTTTGAAAGTTATTAGGGAATATTTCGATAAGAAGGAATACACGGAAGTCACACCACCTGTTATTGTACAAACTCAAGTTGAAGGAGGTGCAACCTTATTTAAGGTTGATTATTATGGTAAAACAAGTTATTTGACACAGTCATCCCAGTTGTATTTAGAAACAGTAGCACCTGTGGTAGGATCAGCTTATTGTATAATGCCATCGTTTAGAGCAGAGAAGTCTTATACCAACAGACATCTTACTGAGTATACTCATGTTGAGGCAGAAGTAACAGACATTGATTTTGAAGGTTTGATGGATGGAATTGAAGATTTAATGAAATTTGTAACGAAAAGATTTTATGAAGTAATGATTGATAAGATTAAACAAGTTTATCCAGAATTTATTGAGAAGGATAGTTCAGAAGCTCCATATTTAAGAGTTTCACATAAAGAAGCAATTGATTTCTTAATAAAGAAAGAACATAAAAAACCAAATGGTGAATGTTACAAACAAGGTGATGATATTTCAGATTCATCAGAAAGGTTTTTAGTTAAAGAAATGTCAAAAGGAAGACCAATGTTCTTAACAAACTTCCCAATTGAACATAAACCATTCTATGTAAAGCGAAGTGATTCATCGGTGTATGCTTGTGATTTATTAGCAGCAGGTGTAGGAGAAATTTTAGGAGGTTCAATGAGAGAAGATGACTATGAAAAATTAATTGAAGGATTTGAAAGAGAAAAGATCAATCCGGAACCATATTATTGGTATCTTGATTTGGCTAAGTATGGACCATCATCTCATGGAGGATGGGGATTAGGTTTTGAAAGATTGTTATGTACTTTAATGTCATATGATCATATTGATAAGGCTTGTTTGTATCCAAGAAAACCTGACAGATGTACTCCTTAACAATAAATTTATTACTTTGAATTATTTTTTATTTAAAAAAATAATTTATAAAAAGGCACTTATGGGATTCGAACCCATGATCTTCTGTTTACAAGATAGACGCTTTACCACTAAGCCAAAGCGCCATATCTAATTAACAAATAATTATTAAATAAAAAAAGATATAATAAATATAGTTTAACAAAATATTTTATAGAAAATGGAGTCATACAAAATACACAATGAAGAAGAGATAGATTATCAATCAGCATTTACAGGATATCAAGAAGGAGATGAACCACTGTTAAAAGAACTAGGAATAGATTTTAGCGTAATAAAAACTGAAAGTTTGTTAGTATTTAAAGGACTCAATAGTTCATCAACAGCAGATGCACTAAACAGTAACGACATAATAGGACCACTGCTATACATCTTAGCATATTCATTTATTTTAACTTTAAATTGGAAAATTCACTTTAGTTCAATCTATCTAGTAAGTGTATTGTTTTATACATTCACTTACATTCTACTGTTTCTTATAAACACCAGTACTAATCACATTCAATTAACACAATGTATTAATGTAATAGGATATTGTTTTTTACCGATAGTTCTATTTACCTTTTTAAAAACAGCTTTATTTTTTCTACCTAAGAAGCTTCTAATAATAGTGGGTATAACAGCTTCATTATGGAGTGCATTTGTATCAGCACAGGTATTTTGTAGGTTATTGAAATTGTCTGATAAAACCCTCATAATTACATATCCTTTATTCATAGGGTATCTTTATTATGTGATTATTGCAGTCTATTAAATAAAGTTTTAAATTTATTTTTATTTGTTTGGAGAATAAAATGGTAGAAAAGAAAAGTGAAATAGAGATATTATCAGTAGATTTAGTGGCAACATGGTCATTAGATTTACAAGTGGAAACATGTGCTATATGTAGAAATCATCTTATGGATATGTGTATTGAATGTCATGATAATTTAGAAGATGATTTATGTACTATATCATGGGGTAAGTGTGGACATGCTTTTCATAGACATTGCATTCAAAGGTGGCTCACAACTAAGAATATTTGTCCATTAGACACCCAAGTTTGGAAAGAAGAAAATAAAAAATTTAATTAAAAATAAATTCATCTAAAACAACACCAAGCATTTTTCTTTTTAGCTTCCATGAAAAGTTTTTTACTTGCTAGTGATAATCTCTCACTATCCATTGTAATTTGTTCAAGAGTACGTCCCCTCTTCAAAATCTTTCTTATACCGTCTTTTGCATTATACTCCGCTATATCTAATTCTTTATTGATTTCATCTGTCAGTTTTTCACTCTTATCTTCTTTATACTCATTCATTATCTTTTTTATATGACTATTTCTACTAAAAAGTTCTTTGAAGAGTTGTATCTTACATGTATTACTATAATCTATATCACTTATTATAACTCCCAGTAGATTATCTATAAATTTTAGTGTGATGTTTACTTTGAAATCATATATTTTCTCATCAACTGATTCTACACCAGAATCTTTTTCATCCATGTTATCCATGATATCTAAAATTGCTGCTCTGATTAGTCTTTTTACTTGAAATTGTATTATAAAGTTGTATTCTGAAAGATTATAAGCTTCTTCTAATATTTTTGATTGTCTTTTATTAATTAGTAGTATTGAATATAATTTCATTTATTTATTTGTTTGTAAATTATTTTGATAAATAAAATTTATTTTTAATTAAAGATTTTTTAGAAAAAACTATCAGTTAATTAGTTTTATTGAATGTTTAAATAAATTTATTTCTTTTAACAAACAAATTTTATGAAATTTAAAGTGTTAGATTTTAAAATGATGTAATTTTAGATTAGATTTGTTGTTTTGTATGATTTCTCCACACTCCTCTAATTTCTATTCTTCAGTTTCTTTAAATAAATCTCTCTTCTTCATAGTTTATTTAATATTATGTGCTTCTAAAAATAATTTCTTAAATACCCCTGTTCCAACATGAGAATCGAACTCATGACTAAAGGTTTCTAATCTAACGATGTTAATTAAATTAAGTTCATCCTTAAATATTAGTTTTTATCTTTTAATTTAAACAATGTAAAATATATTTTAATTTTATAAAATAATTTAAATTTTTAGTTTAAAGATCAAATCTTTATTCAAAAAGGGGTGTTTAAGAAATTATTTTATAGAGTTTTTATAATAAAATACTTTAAAATTAGAAGAAATATACTTAAAGTAAACAAGAATTAGAAAATATAAAGTTGAAAGTTGGAACAGAGAATACACAACTTTTAAATATCAAGTTATTATTTAATTTTTGATTAAATAATGATTTATTATAATAGAATTTATTGTTTTTTGATGAAAAAATAAATAGTAAATTTTTTATAAAAATTTTTTCCCCCTAAAATGAAGCTTTTTACAAAAATAATAAGAGAAGTTTTAAAGCAATTTTACATTATGTTTTTTATTGAATCAAAATTAATCTATATAACTTTTAATAATTTATCTAATTATTTTATCAAATATAAGAAAAATGAATTGTTTAACATAGTATACTTTCTGTTGTTTGTGATTATAATATTTTGTATTGTGATTGGATTGTTTGCATCAAATAATCGTATTAGAGGTATTGCTATATCAATAACAGGTGGTTTTTTAATTTACGAATTATTGATTTTAATTTTTAATTTAATATTTTCTAATTGTAAAGAACAACAGTTTAAACGATATGTTGATAACATTATCAAAATTATAAAAATAGATGAATTATTAAAAAATAATGAATACTTCCATATATCAACGTTTCTAACTTTGTTTTATGCATTTTTTTATAAAAATTATAAACGAACAATATTAAAATCTTGTCTATCATGTATAGAATTTTTAACCTATATAATGATTTATGCATTTTCTAATAGGTTAATAAGCATTGATAAGACTTTGATATTCTTAGTTTTAACAATTTTAAGTTTAAAAACATGTTTTAAATCCTTTTTTGATGATGAAAACATGTTTGTACTTTTTGTAATAACTAGATATGATATTTTTTATTTAATAACTTATACTATCTTATTCATTTCATCATCATATGTAAAGCTTGTTCGAGATATTTTAGTTAATTTAATTCTATCTGTTTTTTATAGTATTATTTTAAGTCTTTTTATCTCAATTATTTATTACGGAAGAGATGATTTTATTAATCGCTTAAAAGTACTTTTAAAAGATGATGTTGTTTTAAGAAATAATGATTGTTTTAATTTTTATAGTAGGAAAATTGGAATAGAATATATATTTATGGGTTGTTTTATACTTTATTTTATTATTATATTCAAAATACAAAAATTATTTTCAAATAAGAAAACTATTGTTAAGATGGATTATTAAAATAACATACTATTTTTTATTAAACTTTAATAACAGTTAATGTTAATATAATTTTGAGTTAAATTCTTTAATTAAAATTACGTAAGAGTTTGTTTTTTGGATTATTTATAAATATTAATAATAAATTATTTTAAACCAGTTACAAAACCACACAACTTAATACTAAAATCTCTTTAAATCTTTTATTGTCTTTTAAAAAAAAACTGTTAATTTTTTAAATAGAAGTTGAAATTCTTTTTTTAACGAATTATTATTATTATAAGATATTTAAAAATACAAGAGCTGGTTGTAAAATCAGTCAAACTATTGTTATAAGAATTATCATAGTTTTTGATGAAAATGATTATTTCTATAACGCATTTAGAAATCTTTTTGCAATAATTTTTGAATCTTTCATTATCTTCAATATTCGTTTTTATTTTAATATCTATTATAGAAATAACATTAAATTTTTTTTCATAAAGATTCTTTTATCTCAGGAGAGTATATTTCATCAAATTCAAAAAATACTCTTGAAAATATTCAATACAATGTTGTCTATTTAAATATTTTTTCATATTAATTTGTTCTTCCTTAAAATTGGTGTTTAATTGGTTTACTATTGAATCAATTTCATATAAAGAAACATCTCTGTATTTAGATTAAAACAGTCTTATAATCAAAGGTACATTATTTATCAAGAAATTCTTTGATTTTACATATTCTTCAGTTATTTGTTTGATTTTATCATATTCTTCTAAAATTACCTGTGAATTATTACTTACTAAGATACAATCAAAGCATATATTCACTTCAAATAAAATTTTTGAAAAATTCATGGTTAAAAATAAAATTTATTTTATAAATTAATTAGACTTAAACGTAAATCAAAAATAATAAAAAAATCTTTCAAATATTAAATTAACATTTAGTTTACTAATAATTAATATTTTGTGATTAAAAAATAATTAGTAATCTTAAATTAAAAATAGGAAATTAGACTTAAAAATTAAGATCTTTTTAAACTATTTGTATGTCTTAAACCAATAATTATTGCAAAACTATTTTGAGTGAATAATATAACAGCAGAAGAAATTCTTTTTTAATTTTAGTTATAAACAAGTAAAAGAAATTTTATTTAAAATAAATTTCCATATTTTTAAAAATTTATTGAACAAACATCTTTTTATTAAAAATAAATATAAATAGTAGATTTAGTTTTTAATTTAGATAAGTTAATTTATAAAACATAAAATAAATACAAAATTTTAATTGTATTCTTTTAATAAATTTTCTAAATAAATTTTAATAAAATTTAAATAAACATACTAATGAATTTTAGATTTAATTTATAAACATTCATGAAAAAATATATCATTTGAATGATATTTTTATTTAAGTATTTGGTTATCAAATAATTGACATTTAGAATTTTATATAAATTATCAATCTTAACAATATCAAGGATATTGGATGAATCATATCTGTTAATGTATGTTTAGTAATGTTAAAGAAGTAAATTATAACTATTTTTGTTATCGCTTATATAAACCTTCTTATGAATTCCTTATTACATATTAATTATTATCATTTAAATAATTCGTTATTATTAATTTATAAATAGAATTTATAAGGGCAAAGAATTGATCAAAATTTAAAATAGAATATTCTTTTTTAATGATGTTCTACAATCAGTATTCACATTTTTAAAAACTTCTCTAATATTTTATATGATAACTAATTTATTAATAGTTAGTATACTAATAAAAACTTCTTTTAAATGTTACTTTATATTATATTTGATTAACTTAACAGATATTTATTAAACAAATAATAATTTAATTTAAATGGAATGTATGATTCTAATGATTTTATTTATAAAATAACATTCATAAATTCTTAAAAAGATACAAATAACAGAACAATTTAATAAAATTATTTAAAAAAAGATTTAAGAAAATAAATATTGAAATCTAATAAGCAACTATCGAAAAAAATAAAAATTTTATAATTTTAAACAATAAATGTAAATAATTATAAAGTATTTGGCAATAAAGTTGAAAAATAGATAATTATGAAAATCTAAATATAATTTTAAAATTCAAGCAAAAAGAAGACTAAATTTTTTGTAAAAATATCATTCTGTATAAAATTTAAACTTAAATAAAAAGGTTATAATTTTTTAGTTATAATAAAAAAAACATTAAATCAGAAATATGGAAAGTATTTCAGAAGAACTTTCAATGTTATAAATAGAACTGGTATTAAGTTAAAATAAATAAGTGAATTAAAAGCCCAAATTATTTGTAAATATAAAAAATATTGATTTTAATATTGCATTTGAATTGAATATTTTTTATGTCAATTTTTTCGATATTAAAATATTGGTTTTCTACATTAACGACAATAACACTGAGAACTTCTTTCTCTAGTTTAATCACATTCTTTTTTTAGAAACATTCAAAAAATTTTAACTTTTAAAAAATATGAATAAATATAAGGTTGTTTTATAATTGATACAGTCTTATTATATACTGGTTAAATTTTTTTTATTATGGCACGGTAATATTTTTGGAACAGTACTAAGTTAATTATCTGGTTTGTCTTTATTATTAGAGCCTCAAAACTATTATATTGTTGTATTATTGTTTTTAATTTGTTATTTGTTCTTAAAAACTTTATATTAAAAAAATTATATCAAAACCTTTAATTGAAATCGTGAATTTTATAATCTATATATTATTACGAATGTTTTGTCAATCTAAATTTGTTAATAGCATGTCTGTTAGATTTCTCTTTTTACACTTTCTTAAACGTGTTTGTTCTTTTTAAATATTATAAAAAATTCAAAACAATTATTTTTTTAATATCGCGGTTTAATTTAAAGATTTCTTATCATTTTTTTCACAGTTTAGAATCAAATACTATATTAAATTACCCAAACGGTATAATATAAATCTCTAAAAATTTTAACATAAATTTTATTAAATTAATATTAGTGATTTTTAATTGATTATAAATTCATATTTATTATTGTATAGTATAGATGAAATTATAAATAAATATTTTAGACAATAGTACTATTCAGTTTAAGGCTTTAAAGAAAACTGTTTAAACTAATTTTTTTTACTTATCAAAAAATGACAAAAAGGAAAGTTAGTAAACTCAAATAAATAAACAAAAGAAAGACAAATACTTTTTAAGAGCCAAAAATCCTTCGTAACATATATTTTAATCTAATTTTTATTGATTTTATTTAAGTAAAATTAAATGTTATTTTTATCATTAAATTTGATGAAAACAAAGAACATAATAGTGATATTAAAAGATTTTTAATTATACAAGTTTTATAAGTATATTTATTTAACATTTTTTATAAAGAATGTTTTATTAAAATTATATTATAACTAATATAAATTCTATCAGAAGAATTAAATTTAAAATTTAAAGAATAATATT